ATAATAGGCTTATATGCATTGTATTCTAGTATCTTGCTAGGCTTTTTCATCAGATCTTTTTACAATTAACAATAAAAAATAAACTGAAACTTTTTACTAGTCGCAAGCCTTCCTCGTTATTGGAACGTGCATGCTCTGAATTGCTCATCCCTGCACGTCTTTTCTTTTTCAGTCGTAAGCAGTTAATCGTCTAGTTTTTTTTTTTTTTGGCTATTGTGTTATCGGTAAAGGCTATATTGTTACCTAACAAATCAACATAAAAAACTGACACGCGTCTGCATGTTGTTTTTATCGTATTCATTGAATCGTATAATGTGTTAATTGAAAGAAGAATGTTTAGTTTCGCACTTCGTACTATAAAAAGAAAGATCGACGTACCTACTTATGCTGTCTAGTGGGGGTCACATTGTACCAATGAACCCCCGTCACGGTATAATTATTCCTATTGACTGATGTGACCCGGACACCAGTATGAAAATATTTAAAATAAAAACAAGTAATTAGTTTGTGCAACAGGTAGAAAATAGCCGTGAAAAGACGGACGCGGCCTACAATAATAGCTAGGATTAAAAGAATGCTATAAGACTAGAAATAGCCATTGATAGCTCATGAAATAGGCCCTAACATAACTCAGTAAAGGTTTGGATTCCAATGCGGTCTGCACAAACATTACCTATAGACGTATGTACATTCTATACACTCTTCTTATGTAATTTTGAAATTTAAACAAGATTTTTTGTACCTATATCTGTTTACCGGCGCCGATAAGCTATGGTACTATTTCTTGTTATTTTCATAAGCCTAATAAAACATAATTCTCTGTGGTATCTATCGTATAGAGTTTACGACAGTTTTTTTATATTTATTTTACAACTATAGTGTTATAATCTACATCTGATTCATGTCTTTTGAAATATTTGTTTCTAGATCCTTAAAACATTTTATCATTATTTTTTCTGTTTTGCTGATTCATAATTATATTTTTCAAGCTAAGTTCGTTTTCTTCCGTTAGTCTATTGATTCTCTATTAGTTTATTATTTGAATTTGAACATGAACATATAATTCAACACTGATAGAAATGTACGAATTTACATTTGTTTTTAATTACCATTATTAACCTATAAACTTGCGGTTGTGGAATTTACTAAATTGTATTTTTTTAAATTCAAATTTAAAGTGCGTTTTTGTCAATATTTAAATTATAGGCCTATTCGTGAGGAGCGAACAACGAATGAATATGTTTAGACATAAGCAATAGGCCCTACATGCAGTTGGCATAGGCAAAGTAACATCGTGGGATAAATATTAATATTTACTAATCTAAACTAAAAATTCAAAATGTACTAATTATCATTGTTCAAAATTCTTAAATATACATATTTATCAATCAATCAATTTATTAATTTAATAAATCAATTTCAATCAATTTATTCAGAAAATACAGCCAAGGCTGAGGAAGGTAAAAATATATATTTTTTAAAAACAATAAAAATTGACTATAGGCCTACAAATCAAAAGGCACTAACATCCATCTATATAGAATGTGACACTTCCAACAATAACATTTTTTTATATTAGAGAAATATTATAGTAGAGAAAATAACGAAAAATCATAGGGACTCGCTTTTTAAATACAGTATTTTCGACCACTGGTACCTTGACCTAATAACTAATAATTGCATTATCTAATAAATAAGTTTTATAAATGATTTCCTTTTATTATTTTTTGTAATCTTTCTATAGGTTTATTCAATAAAAGTGGTTTTTGATAAACTTGGAACTTCTGAATTTTAATTGCTTACTTTAGAAAGTCTTTTCACAACAATAACCACGTTTAGGCCTATGTTATTTTCTTTATTCTAAATTGGCTTGTAAAAAAGAAGATTTTTTTACTGTTAGTATACAAGTCTGAATCAGCGCAAACATAAGTGTACTATCGGTTTCTTTGAGAAGCTGATAACTTTTATCACTGAGCAATTTAATGTTTTAATTAAATTTGGAAGTAGCTTTCTATATTTCAATACAGTTGTTTTATACCTGGTCTTTATTACTATAAATCTACAACTAAAAAGAATTATAGTAGAAAAACAATTATTTTGAACTAGGAAATGAAATTCTTTGTCAAAGCTTACAGATATTATACTGTTATTATTTATAATATAATTTTGCTATTCTTAACATATAAAAGGCATATTTAAAGATATACTGTCTGTCACGAGATCAATGAATATTTAAAAAAAAAATCAGTTCCATTTGAATTGTTTAATTTGTAAATTTAAGTAAGTTCTTAACTTACAATTGAAAATTTAGATGTGAAAACAATTCCCTCGTCAGTAAATTAAAGGACAGATAAATAATATCTTTCCCGTATTTTGGTCCGTAGTTTCTTAAACTGGCTGGTGATAAATTTAAAAAGTTTTTTTTTATTATTATTAAAATGCCTGTATATCAGCGAATATCTGTTTTTCGATTTTTTCTGGTTGGTAGTTAATAACCTATTTTATCTTTTAAATGATCTATTCAGAAATTTAATTGATTTTTTTTTTAATGTTCCAATTTCTTTTCTAATAATAAATTAATATTGCATCATTGTAAACATTTAATAAAGTAAAATGTGCATACATACCATTGAATGTAAGTTGAAATGATTCCAATTATACAACGATTGCTGTTGCTGTTGTTGATGTTGCTGTTGTTGTTGTTGCTGATGGTGTTGCTGTTGTTGCTGGTGTTGTTGCTGTTGCTGTTGAATCTCATGCAACGCCCGTTGTCTCTCATTTTCTTCATCAACCAACTGTTGCAAATGTAAAATATAATTTATTGCCGAACGAAGCGTTTTTACTTTCGATAGTTTCTTGTTCTTAGGCTCTGTCGGAATCTTTTTTCTAAGCCGTAAGAAACCGTCGTTCACGAGTTGGACGCGACGTCGCTCGCGTGCGTTCCGCCTAGCGACCAGGTGTGGCTCTTTATCCTTTGCACTTGTAGCTGCCGTGGATTTCTTATCCTGATTTTCATTTCTGTTTGATTTGCGCCGGGATTTATTCGACAAAACAGATTTCGTTGAAGGTTTTACTGTCTTTTCTAGGGAAAACATATCGGTTGTGTGTTTGAGTTCGTTTTCTCGTGAATTTAGTTTCACTTCGACATTACCGCTTATCTTCTCGATAGCCATCTTGTTCAATAGCCAGGTATCTATTTGACCCTGCAAAACTTAAGACAGTGACCTAAGATATATTCCACTTATCATAAATTATTGATAGCAGTAATTTCATCCCACGCTTTGCTAAATTACTGTATTCTACCTATAGGTTTCCAGCGTAAAAAAGAAAACCTTTCCTCGTAAGTTCCGTAACGAAAAATGATTTTACCAACTTCGCATATGAGTTCTTATCTAGAAGAATGTACCGTGATTTCTGGGGTTGCACAGAAATTTCTTATCTTATATACGGTGCTCTCGATATAAAGATTATTTATGTTTCACCGTTCGATTTCATTGTCAACCAATGGAGGCATTCAGAAATGAATTTTTGTCCATTGAAACGTTTTCTGATTGTGCCACTCCAACCATTTTCCGTTTCCTGAATATACTATAAACCCGGGAAGATTTCTAATTACTGTATGTCAAACCAAGCAAGGGTTAATTTCCTAAACTTTTTCATCGATACAATTGCTGTTTTTGGTGTCTCTATTGTTAACAACAATAGTACATTATTCCGAGTTGGTTACGCGTGCGTATTAAAGCGCTTAAAACATCACATTTGTACAAGAACAATAGTAATTAGCCCCACGGCTAACTTAACTCCCCTCTGATTCGCTTAACACTGACGGAAATTAGACGGCTTAAGTGTGTGTATTCGAATTAATTGATATAGATACATTACGCCTCACTAACTTGTTGATACACACAGTGACATTTTACGTGTCGTCCAGATCTCGATTTATTAAAAATACGAAATTTCTATTGATACACAAACCATTCCACGAAATACTAAGTAAGTTATAATGAATTCAGTGGCGATTGTCGGTCGAGGTAACTGGCAGCAGACTAAATACTTGTTGGAATACAGGCTCTCCGTAATTGCGAACTGAATCTGTTCGAGTATGCCGATGAACTTGGCGATATACAGACAGGTGTTTTTCTTTCATAGCTTCAACTGATTTCTTTATGGCTATCGCGAAAGGTAACCTTGCAAATGTAGATATCATTTCCTCTCTAACGTTAAACCTAAACAAATAATTAAATACTTCAGTCTAAAATCATCTGCTCTTTTAATGCCATTATGATAAATGCGGATCAACGTTACGTACGCTTAAATGTCGGAAAACATGTGTATTCGCAGTATTTCAGATAATCGTTATTCGCGCGCTGCGTAAAGAAAAAAATCATCGTGATTTATCTCTCTGTAAAACAGGTGAATGGATTATAATACTGATCCTGTTCGGGATTTGAACCTAGTAATTAGTATATGGTTAATTCCTGTCTTCAAGAAAACCATGAATCCGGAGGTTTGAGTATAGGCCTATAACAGAACAACATATTAACAAGGTGATATCTGATCCTTGAAAAGTTAGCAGGTTTCTCTTAATGTTAATATTTTTCTCTTAAAGTCTCGTTTTTATTGTATTCTGGCTTTTTTTTTTAAAGTTCAGATTTTATTCAAAATATCATTCTTGCTACATTTGGCTGAGTCCACTTTTAAAAGAAAATTTGTAGAATCCGTTTTCTGATGAGAATTTTCTCAATCAATTTATGTTCTGGTTGTTTTTATGCAATTAATAAAATGTAATAGTAAGTTATAAAATCGAGTTAAAATCATAAATTTATTGTCTATTTTGTAAGGGGTATGTTTCTGTGGCTGTAATTTTTGAGTGTGAAGTTTAAACTAATAAAATCCACACGATGATGATGCAGTGGTGGCTGAGGTAACTGGCGCCAACACGAATCGTCTCAAGCTTTTATTTTAAGAGTCGCGATCAAATCATATCTATAGTTGTTATCGGTGATTGAAAACGAACAATCAATCAGGACCCGGTTCAGGATTTTTTGTTTGTGGGGCTACCAAGTATTTCAGATAGTTTGAATTTAAATCATTACGGGAGTATGGCCCCATCATGATGCGCATACAATGGAGAATCAACGTTAAGTTTGAATTTAGACCAACTTACTAGGCTACTATTTTACAGTCATAAC